GTTATATTTGATAAACATTTAAAAACAAAAATGATATTATAAACCTATGGCTGACTTCTATATTTTATAGATCTAAACGTCTGTATATTAAACACGACAGGTAAGGCAAAAAAAAAACAATAATTTTACTGCAGACCGACGTGAACATTTGCTTAATTTATGAATACAGTAGAACCTCGATTATCCGGGGTAATGATGGGGAGAGGGTCACACGGATAAATGAAAATCACGGTTAATCGAGACTTTTTATAATAATGAAATTTTTTATTTAATTATAATTGGAAATACCTAGGTACAATTTTATAATAATGAAATTTTAAAAATTTTGATTCAATTGTAATTAGAAATATACATAAGAAGACGTATACATACAATAATGTTATACATACGTCCTACATCCATAATATTGTATACCTACTACAAGTTATTAGGGCTTAAAATATGAAGTTATCGTCAAAAATGTCATTAATACGATTGTCGATATCGAGTATTATGTTTAAAAATGTTCGGAAGAATGGGCACGGTTAATCGCAAACACGGATAATCGAGTCACGGATAATCGAGGTTCTACTGTATTTTAAACTTTTATTGTTCTATGTTTTTGGCTATAGTTAATGTTGGTAAAAATAAGTTAAAATTAAACTTTGTTAATTTTAATATTTTAAGTACTAGACTAATTTCAAACTTAAATGTAAGAATATTATAGTTTTTAATTATCTTTATTTATTCAATATTTTAATATTCAAGCAAGATTTAAGTATGTAAAATATCACAATTTAAAAACAACAACTGACACTTAAAATAAATATGTTCTTATCTTTAAGTTTAATATAATAGTTTAATTTACTCGAATATTAAAAACATAAATGGAACTTCTTGATAAAAATTTGTTGTGGTAATATGTTATTAAAACAAAATCAAAATTTGTGGGTATTATTTAAAATTATATTTACTCAATAGTTAATTTTAATTTCAATACTTAAGAGATAATGTCTCTTAGAATTAATTAATATTATGTTTTAGTGATTTGTGGGCTGAACCATTTGCAGATATACACAAAGTTAAAGGCCTTCAAGGAATCTATATTGTTTCACAGATTTCTGCTTCAATGCCGACAGGAAGTGTGGATATAGGTCCAGAGCATATTGTGACTCTTATCAGTTTTAATTGGGGTTTTGATTGGCGATTGTTAAATGTCACACGATCTTTTTCTCATTGTGAAAAGGTTATATTTATTTGATATATCATTTAATATTTCATAATTTTGTATTGAATTTTTTCGTGTATTACAGTCGGACAATTGTTCTTTACATCTTACTCAAATGTTTGCTCACGTGTATCCTGTCACTAGAACTCATACGTTTATTTTATCATCAAAGTCTGCACCTGGAATTATTATGGCTACTGGAGTAGTTGGTAAATCATTAAAGGGCAATCCAGGAGTTTTTGTCAGTAGAGATGCTGGACTCACGTGGCGACAAGTATTAAAAGATATGCATTTTTATAACATTGGTGATCATGGAGGCATTTTGATTGCTGTCCGGTACTACAAAGGTGAAAAAGAAGAAACCAGTCAAATTCTGTATTCAACTGATGAAGGAGAAACATGGCTTGAGAAAAATTTCACTAACAGTCAAATAAAAGTTTATGAGTTGATGACTGAACCTGGGGAAAATACTACTGTTTTTACTATGTTTGGCTCAGTTATGGAAAAACATGAGTGGTTAATAGTTAAAATTGATTTAAAGAATGCATTTTGTAAGTATTATATTAGTATTATTAATTAATATATATTTTAGTTCTACTATTGTACAGTTATAAAACAATAAAATAAATATTATATTTGTTAGTTGTGATTAAATAACTACTGCCTAATATTATTTGTTTTTTAAAACCAAATTAATTTTATAGCTTATAACTGTACTAAAAAGGATTACAAATTTTGGTCACCTACCACTTCAAAAGATCATTTAAAGACATCTTGTGTTCTTGGTCAAACACAAATATTTCAAAGAAGAGCGCCTAAAGCAAATTGTTACAATGGAATGAATTATGATCGACCAATTCAGACCATGACATGTGATTGTGATATTGAAGATTATACATGGTAAATATAATTTTTTATTAAGTGTTCAATTGTTCAATAATTTGTGAGTAATGTGCTTTAAAAAATACTATCATTGTGATTGAAATATTTATATTTATTTTTTAGTGATCATGGATTTACATGGTTTTCAAATTCTAAACAATGTATTAGGAATAAAACAAGTAGCTTTGATCCTTATTTAATTCCATTGTCTTGTAAACCTGGTTTAATGTATAACCGTACAAAAGGTTATCGTTTAATACCTGGAGATATGTGTAAAAATGGACGTTCATTAGAATTCATGCCTCAAGAAGTTCCGTGTCCATTTGAGTATGTATGATTATTTAAATATTTAAAATAATTTATTTAAAACACCGATTTTATTTTTTTAGAGAAAAGTCAGAATTTATTTTAGTTGCACAAAAAGAGCGTATTCTTAGGTTGAGTGGTAATTTATCATATGAAGTATTACCTGTGCGTAAACTTGAAAATGTCATTGCCGTAGAGTTTGATGTGGAAAGTAATTGTGTTTTTTGGGCTGATATTGTTACTGATACTATTGGGGTATAATAAATTATTCATTATTTGTATTATTACATAATTTTTTTTTCAATTGTTATATATGTTTAATTTTTTTTATTTTCTTTAGCGACAATGTTTATCTGATGGTAAACAAGGACCAGAAATTTTGGTGAATTCTGGTCTTAGTAGTGTCGAGGGAATGGCATATGATTGGATATCTAAGCACCTTTATTTTGTTGATGGTGCATTGTCTAAAATAGAAGTTATACGTACTAATACTAAAATTCCTGGACACATGCGCAAGACTATATTAGGTCCTACTCATCTAAAGAAACCTCGAGGGTTAGCAGTTCACCCTAGACTCGGGTATGTATACTATTAATTTCATAATAACATATAATTTATAAAAAATGTTTTTAGTTATTTGTTTTGGACTGATTGGGCTGTTGGTGAAGCTAAAGTAGCAAGAGCTAATTTAGATGGATCTGATGTGAAGACATTAATTAGTAATGATTCTATTGAATGGCCAAATGGACTAGCTGTTGATTATATAGCTGAACGATTATATTGGGCAGATGCACGACATGATTACATAGCTTCTTGCGATTTACATGGAAACAACATAAAAAAAGTTATAAAAAATGACGTGAGCATTGAAATTAATTAATTAATCTGTTAAATTGTTGAAAATGAAACTTGAATTCAATGCATTATATATTTTTAATTTTAGGAAAAAGTTTCTCATCCATTTGCTGTAGCTATTCTCAAAGATTGGATCTATTGGGATGATTGGAAACAAAATTCTATATTCATGTCAGATAAAGATCATGGAGCTAAAATACAAACAGTTGCTTCACATTTGCCAGGATTAATGGATTTAAAAGTATGATTATATAAGATCATATATATGTGTATACATTACCTAACATGTTATATTAAATTTTATTTATTTGAACACGTTTAGGTATTTTCACATATGTCACAAATTGATACAAATGCATGTTCAAATAATAACAAATGCTCTCATTTTTGTTTTGGTTTACCAAATCAAATGTTTTCTTGTCAATGTCCAGATAATATGAGTAAATCTGATAATAGTTGTCTTTGTCCTGGTCTTAAGGAACCATTTTCCAATGGAACTTGTCCATCAGGTAAATCAATTGTTTTAGTTTTTATTTTTAATAAATATTTTTATGTATGTTTATTAATACTATTAATTGTTTTCAACTTGATTTATTGATATTTTTTTTTTATAACTATTGCCAATTACTTGTATGATATATTTTTTCTTCATTTTTTACTATAATATATTCATATTTTTATTATTGTAGATATTGAATAGTTAGGTAAGTCTTAAATAAATATTTAGTAAAATTATTATATAAAAATGTTACTATGAAAATCTTTCCATTATTGGCAATTAGTAAGATTAATACTGATTTATTTGCTAAGTTTAATAATAAAATTAACATTTATATTTTTTTTAATAGCTGGTCAAACTTGTTCAGTTGATTATTTCCAATGTGCTAATAGTAACTGTGTGCCTAAATATTGGCAATGTGATGGGGATAATGATTGTGGAGATAATTCAGATGAAGTAAGATTCTTCTTTATAACTAATTTAAAATTATTTTACTTCTACTCAAATTATAATAAGTATCCATCGTAAAGCGAGTGTCAAACATTTAAAATAAAAAAAATAAAAACTTAATAACTTTAAAACCATAGTAATATTAATAATTTATTATTTTTTGAAAGATTGATAATTTTATTTAAAATGTTTTTTTTCACTGTTAAAAAATTATTGTTTTAGAATGTTAAAACTATTTAATATCAATTTTAATTAAATAGTATTATTTTGTGTTATCTATCAGCCATTATAGAACTATACTTAAAAAAAAAATAATATATTTTTACTTTTTTTGATTGTATAATTTCTACTCTAAAATGACAACATACATTTTTTATTTCATGTTTTAAAGCAGAATATTCAGATTATTTTGATCTATAAAAATCAAATTTCAGACAAATAGTTTATTAGTTATAACTTATAAATATGGATGAATTGAGAGGTGGTCCAACATGTGTATTAGTTTTGTACCTTTTTCATTTTACTTATTTAATCTTTAATTACTTATAAGTTATAACTCATTAACTGCCTATTTAAAATTCAATTTATTTTCATTGTTTATAAAAATTGTATTTGATGTACTAAAAAAAAATATTTTGCTTCGAAATTAAGAATAAAAAATACATTCTGTTGTTAAAAAAATGTTAATAATAAAAAAAAGTATAAAAATAAATTTAACAGCTTAAAAAATTATGTAATAACATATTTTCAAAAACATTGATAGTTTTTTTAAATAATGAGTGTTTTAAGTTAAATAAATTACTTACTGTAGCAAGATTCCATCGATATTATTAAGATTAATAAGTGTTTAGTTATAAAATTTAAAAAAAATATGGCGCCACAAATATATTATTCTGTCACAAATTCATCTTTTAAAAACATTAAAAATGATGAAATAAGGATCCACAAATTTTTCAGGCCATATTTTTAAATATACTTGTTTACTTATTTTTTAATACTATACTTTTTTTTCTTATACACTTATAAATTAAGTAAATAATTAAAATAATTAAATTTATACTAATTTAATAATAATTACGATAAATAATGTATATATATTATGTGATAATAGTGAATAGGTAAACTACAAGTATAAATACCACTTTTTGATTAAAATATAGGTAGTAAATTTGATTATTTCTATTTATTATTTTTTTCTGTAGATATATTTACTTATCTATATATTATATTTATTTTAGTTATTAATACAAACTTAACTAATGTTTAGGTCAAGTGTACTAAAGTTTCATGTGGTCCAAACTCATTCCAATGTGATAATGGAAAGTGTATTCCATCATATTGGACCTGTGATTTTGATCCTGATTGTGAGGATAGTTCAGACGAAATAAATTGCAGTAAATATGTTTTTGTATTTTTTAAATTTAATTAAAATAGTTAATTTTTTTTTTCTTATTATGATAGTCTTAGTTTTAAATCTCAAAACAACCTTTCAAATATACAACTTTAATTATTCAAACATTTTGTATTAAATCTAATGAGTTTATTCAATTTAAAAACTACTTTATTTAAAATTTTCAGAATATTCAAATTGTTCGGTTGGACAATTTCGGTGTAAAAATGGTCGATGCATTTCAACGCATTGGCGTTGTGATTTAGAAGATGATTGTCATGATGGGTCAGATGAGGTTGACTGTTTAAACATTTCCAACAATTCTTCATCAACTTGTCCACGTTAGTATATACTATATTATATATTATAATTACATTTTGGATTTGTATTTTCTAAAATTGGCTTAAAATAAAACATTAATGGATTAAAAAACCTTAAAATTTGGACCTAATAAACACTTATTTTTTTTAATAAGTATTAACAACTGAAAATTGAGTTTTGTTAAAGTGTAATAAATAATTAGGAAAAAAAAAAATTTAGTTTATTTAGCTTTAAACTGTCTTTTTTTTTAGAGATTATTTAGTTTTACGGAATAAATTAGTTAGTGAACAATAATAATTTATATAAACAAGTAACTACTATAAACAATTTATTTGATACATTTTGTTGTTTTTGACCTACATTTGTATTTACTTTCTTTGGTTAAACAAATAATGAAGAAATAACACAACAAAACTAATTATATAAAAATATACCACTAACTTACAAATATAAACATCTTTACAAAAGAATATTTGTTAAAGATATATTATTCAAGAATTTGTAAACAGAAAATCATTATTAGACATTTTTAATAAAATAAAAATAAAAATTGAGACTAAAAATGTCTACTAGTCTTAATCTTATAATGAACCTATTAATATGAACTATAGATTTTTTACATCAAACTGAATACTCTAAAAAAACATGAAAATTCATACAAATTCTGATTGATTATAATCAAATAATTTTAAATGGAAAATAATAAATATTAAAATATAATGTATTTTTTTAACATGTAGCAAGTAGTTTCCATTGTCCTGGTACTGCAAATACTTGCATTCCAGTCAAATGGCAATGTGACGGTGAAAAAGATTGTCCTGAAGGTAAAGATGAACTTAATTGTGATATACCAACTTGTGAGTCTTGGCAATTTGAGGTTTGTATTAATTACTAGTATTCAATACTTAATATTATGTTTATTTTAGTTTTTAACATTTTTACATTTTGTTTAATTTAAGTGCGCCAACAAGAAATGTATATTTGCATCTTGGAAATGTGATGGAGATGATGACTGTAATGATGGATTAAAGAGTGATGAAGTTAATTGTACATCTACAAATAGGACTTACCCTGTTGAACCAACTACTCCATCTTTACCATTCATCACTAATGTTAGTATCAATATTTTAACTAAGTATTTTGTGTTTATATTTCTAAGTTATTGTTATTTTATTTTTGATTGTTTAGGGAACATGTAGTGAATGGTTATTCCGCTGTAGTAATGGAAAATGTATTCCTTATTGGTGGAAATGTGATAATGTAATGGATTGTGAAGATGGTTCAGATGAAGAACAATGTGGAACTTTAACTCCTACTATTTCTAAAACAAACATGTCGATTGTAACTCCTAAAAATATGTGCCCTCAACATTATTTCCAGTGTAACTCTGGTTTGTTTGTTGATATATATATTTTTTTTACTTTTAAATATTTTACAAGTACTAATACAATATTCATTTAACATATAAATGATTATTTTTGACATAGGTTTATGCATTGAAGACTCATGGGTATGCGATGAAATTTTTGATTGCGATCAGGGTGAAGACGAAACTAACTGTAAAAACAATAATTTTGTGGGTCGTTGTAAAAATAATAGCAGAGAATTTAAATGCCGGATATCTGGGTCATGTATTAGTATTGAAAAAGTTTGTGATGGTACCCCACAATGTCCAGATGCTAGTGATGAAATGTTTTGTACCAACAATAACCAAAGTAATAGTGCTATCAATAATAAAAATATATCTATTTCCTAAAAAAAATTTTTAATTATTTAGCTCCTGGAACACCTAGTTGTGGAGTGGGTCTATTCCCGTGTGATGGCAGTAGATGTATACCAGCATCAAAACGATGTAATCGCCATAAAGATTGTTATGATGGCACTGATGAAGATTATTGTGATACAATAAACGATACCTTCAGTATACAAGTGGGTATCAATATTTAACTAATTAGTTATATTCTATTTAGTCACAATTTTTAATGTTAATGTTTATCTTCTTTTATTTTTATTATCCATACATTTTATTTCTATATTTGTATTTAAGGTTATTCTCTATTGTGTTTTGTTATCTTTTTTTTATTGTTTATTTCATATTGAATTTGTATTAACTTATTAACAATTTCTACATTTTTTTTGCAGGTGGCTTTAATGTTTATTGATGAACACGAAACAACTTCAAATACTCTGTCTTTGTATTGGGCAGCACCAAGAAATTTGAGTTTGGAATATTTACCTTCTATCAGTGAATCACGTATGCCAGAAACATCAGTTAATAAAACATGGGTGTCTTTGACTAATTATAAGTTTACATCACTCAAGCCATATACTACATACAATATGACTATATATGTCCGTCAAAAAGATGTACCTAACATTATCTACCCACCTGCCTTTTTCATACTGGCATCAACTGCTGAAGGCGGTATGTTTAAATTAATAACTTTAAGTACGATTTAAAAATGTAATTTTTAATTAAATTTTATAGTTCCAAGTGCTCCTTTGAATGTAATAGTTAAACAAGTAAATGCGGAAGAAGTCTTAGTCACTTGGACTAGACCAGAAAATCCAGCTGGTCGTATTTTGTCTTACAATGTTTATGTTGAGCCACCTCACCCAGCTATGGTTTTGTCTGTTGAAGCTGATTATAATAATATCACACAATCTTACCCTGTTCGATCATCATTATACCGTAGAAAAATTGAATATAGTTTTTGGGTATGTTTTGTTTTTGATTAAAGAGAATTGTAGCAATCACATTTCATATGATAAAAATCTTAAAAATGTTAATCATTTTTTAAAACTATTTCTTTAAATAATGCTACTTATGCATGGCGTATCTTATAAACGTACAACATAGTAAATATTTTATTCATAATAATTAATTTTACTCTGTAATTTTAAAATTAGAGTAAATATACATACTATTAAATTAAATTTTAAGGTAAGATAAGTATCTAAGGCATCTCAGACGCATTTATTGATATTTTAATTTTAATGCAAGTCAATATGATTATTTTAAAAATAATAGAGTAAAATAGATTATTGTCAATATTTAATTTTCTATGTTGAACATCATTTGTACATTAAACAAAAAACTTGCCAGTGTAGTGTCCTTTTAATTATTTTATTTTTTATTTTTAGAAAGGAGATCATACTGTTATGTGGCTAAAAGTCAAAATATTAATTTTATATATACTTTTTGAGTTATGCATAATAAATCTTTAAAAACTTCACTTTTAATAGTGACTTTATATAAGTCACTTTCTAGTTTATTACTTTAAAATACTTAAATATAGTAGATAAAAGACTAATTTTGCTTATTTTTTTTCAATAAATCAAAGCAATTCTATTAAAAATATTATTTATCTAATAAAATGTCACTCTAATAACTGGTATATTAATAAAATATTTAATTTATAGTTTTAACCACTTATCACATTGATCTCTTCTTGCTAAAAAATACATGGATAAATTCATTAATAAATTTCTTCAGAAAATAACTACATGTTTTGAAATTTTTTCATATGAAATTAGTTCTCTGTTATTCCTTATAATGTAGTTATTATAACAACGTTATTCTCAGATATGTTGTTTCAGTTGTAAAAACTTACTATACTGGGTAATTCTTTTATGAGCATTTATTATTTCAAAATCTATTAACATTTTTGTAAATATTTTTATCATAATTTTTCAGTTGAAACAATAATTTTCAAAAAAAAAAAAAAAAATAATAAAAATATGTTTTATTGTTAATTTTTTTTGATTCACAACATACATTTTAAAGTATATTTTGAAGCAGAACATTTTGTTGAGTATTAAGATTTATAAAAGTCTAAATTTGGATGAGTAGCTTATATGTCGTAACTCTTAAGTATTTATAGTGTTGATGTGCAAAAAATAGATTCCTGTATTACTTTATTCCACCATTCTAGACTTTAAATAAATATTACATATGAACTACTCGTTTGAATTAAGATTTTTTATGTATCAAAAAATATTTTGCTTTAGAATTTAAATTTAGTAATGTATGTGATCATTCAAAAAAAAAATAACTATAAAAATATTAAAAAAAGTTTTATTTCACTCAAAAATCATACAAAAAAAAAAAATATATAATATATATTAAAAAAAAGTAAACAGATTATGAAAAAATGAGTATTTTTTTATAAAACAATTACTCTGTATAACAAATTTAGAACAGTGAATTGTATTGGCCATTATGTGGTTTCATTCATCTGACTAAAGTCTTCTTCTTATTAAAATTAATTTAGTTTTAAAATTTAGGTTAACTTAACCTTAAAGGTATATATATACATATATATATATATATATATTTATAACTGTTCATTGGTTTTAGATAGAAATTTAATTTTTAAATGTGTTATGGGTATAAATTAAAATATAATTAAAAAATACTCATAACTCACTTGAAATTTAATACAGTGTATTATTGATTATCCACAGAATAGGTTGGTTTACTGGTGTGGTATCCACAAATAAGCAAATTCTGAGGATAATCTGCTAAATTAAAAATTTAATAAAAATTCAATAATTATATTATTAAAAAATTAAATCTTGTTATTTTATATTTTTTTTAAAGCAAATTAAATAAAAATGCCGGCTTTGTACTAAAAAAATACTTTAAAAATATTAAAATTAAAATCAAGTAACTAATGAAAAGTAATATTTAATTACATGTATCTTTTGCATCTCAGACAACAGTAGATATATAGTGGTGTTATTGTTTGGTGAAGGAGACATGGGTGTATTGGTCAATCTATTCAAATCGAAAGTATGATAATTTTGGGGTATTGTATGTGTGCTAGGCCAAACTAACGATAAAATTGCATTAACGTACTACCTGCATTATTAGGTTATCAGTTATTGCAACCTCTAATTAGACCGATTCATGGATTATGTAATGTGGATTAAAGAAACATTATTTTTTTTTTGTATATATAATAGATTTGCAGAAGACCATGGGCAATTGAGAATATACTGTATACTATAAACAACTGAAATATGTCAATTTACTTTTATATTATAACTAACAATAAAAAACTGGTTCTACTAAACATAAATTTAATATGTTGTATGTTTTTAAGACTGAAACAACATATGTAGGTTTGGTGTTCTCTTTAATATTATTAACTTAAATATTGAATTTAGGTTACTGCCAAGCTATCAGAGTTTGAATCTGAACGTTCTGCTGTAAAAAGGTTCCATTTCGACGAGGATTCTCTAGTAGATGTTGATTTAAAATTAAACATAACTGCAAGAACAGAAAATAGTATCACTATATCTTGGGAAAGTGTTGAACATGCAGATGGTTTTAGTATTGTTTCTTCAGCACCAGTTAAAGAAGGGCCATATCCCAATTCTATTCAATCATTTAATGTATCTAACAACAACAATCCATTAAAATTTACAAGTTAGTAGTATTCAATTTTACAAAAAAATACATTTTTTTTATAAATTTTATTATATAAATTTTCAGTTACTAAATTGTCACCTGGTGTTACATATACAATAAATGTAATACCATACAATATGCGATATGTTGGTATGAAATATACAATTGTAACAAAAACTGACGGTAAGAATATTGAAACAGCTTGTTTCTTAACCATATTTAAACAATTTTTTTTATTTTATTATTTATTTAGGTCAACCATTACCATCTGTGACAAATATAACTGGCTCTTTGGTCAATATAAAAGATAAGAAAGAGTCAACAATTAGAGTACAATGGAATGCACCCAAACAGTATGGAAGAACTAAATGGATCTATGGGGTTTATTATGGTACAAATGTTAATGACCTCCTAAATGGTATGATAATCCAGAAGCTCTATGATATTTATTTAAAAAATAACATAAATACAAATTTTTTTTTAGGTCCAAAATATAATACTTCAGCAACTATAGCCATTCTAGTCAATATTGAATCTTGCTCATCACTTATGATTGATGTTGGTGTCATTGGTCCCATTGGTATTGGACCATTGTCTAAGAGACCGTTTAATATTATAACTCCATTTGATCCAACTGTTCCACCTAAAGATATAAAAATTGAACAAATTGAACACTCAAGTCAGCCAATGATTCTTATAAGTTGGAAAGCATCTTGTCACCCAGTTCAACAGTCTTACAAAGTAAGAAACTATAAAATTATATTTATTTCAATTAAATTTATAATATCATACAATTTTGTTTTTCTAGGTAAGTATTTTGGAATCCAACAAAAATAAAAATTTTGATGTTATTGTTCCAAATGTATCTGACACCGAAGCTTCATTGCATTTTTCTGTTAACTACGGTGGAAATTACTATATTCGTATTTCAACCTCGACACCAAATGCTGTCCCATCATCATTGATTAATTATCGTGCCCCAGAATTGCCTTCTCCACACCAAGTTAAAGTATTTAGCATGCCGGATGGTCATTATGAAATATATTGGCATAAACCTAATGTAACTTTTCTACTTAAGTCATCGTGAGTACATAAATATACATTGATTTAAGAATAATTTAATATAAACATACTTAATGTTCTAGGATGATTCATTATTTGGTGCATATGTCTGAAGGCAGTGAATTGAATGTCACAACTGCCAAGACTTATCAAGCTGAAGATAGTCCATTTATTATCATTGATCCTCCAACAAGTAACAAATTATCTGTGGCTGTTCAACTAGCAACAAATGAAGGTTATGTATCTAAAATGTCCGAAGTATTCTCATTTATACCTCAAAATGGTTAGTACAATATTCAAAATAAATTTCAAATTTATAAATAATCAAATTAATGTTATTATTATTTCAGTTGATAATGTATCTTCAGAAGTAGTCGTTGTTGGTGTCAATACCGGGTGGATGTCTATGATTTTGGTATTATTAGTTATAGGATTATCTGCAGGTTTAACATATTTTGTTATTCGACATCGGAACTTGCAAAATAGCTTTGTGCAATTTGCCAATAGTCGATATGATACACGGTCGGGATCAGCTACTTTTACTGGAGTTGATAGTCTTGGTTAGTAGTTTATTTTTATATTTTTCTATTACTTATCAATTTAAATTTTTTAATTATGTGGTTATAATAGTCTTAAAAATTTTTAATTCATAATTTTTTAATTGAATTTGGTTATTTGTTCATGCTCTCAAAGGTTTAGGAGTATTTAAAGGTATTTAATTTAACAAAAAAAAATTCTATATAGTTTTGTGTATAAAATCATTTAATAGCTTAAATTTATTTTATTGTTTTATTGAATACATTATTAACTTTTCAGATGATGAGCCAGCAGTTCAAGGCTTTTCAGATGACGAGCCACTAGTCATTACTTAACAATTATCAACTGATCGTTCCGTCATCTGTGATAAAGCGTAACCATTTATCTCAATCCAAGTGACATATTATTTATATTTATTAGAATTTAACATAAAAGTCTACTTCTTCATAATATTATTTACTCTTAATTTTAATGTTGTAACTGTTTATTTTTTACTTTAAAATATGTTATTTTATCCCTTATTTTATACTTTTAATTTAATTTAATTTTTCTTAAATGTTTGCCTTTAGTTTAATTGTATCATTTGTGAGTAAACATATACAATTATATCCTATTGCCAAAATAGTTGCGAACCATCTCAAAAAGTGGTACCGAAATAGAATAATAAATTGTAGAATGAAATATAAAATATCCACCCATTTATCTTAAATATTTTGTACTACAAGAAATTGCAACTCCTACACTTGTTAAAACCATTATTCTATTGAATTCCTCTACTATTTAGTTTCTATTATGAGTAGTACTGGACTATGAGTGGACTATGTGTTTTGTTCACTGGGTAGTGGTATTTCGCATTCTAAAGCAGTGGTTCTCAAACTTTTTATGGCATCACATGTTTGGGAACTTTTTAAATTTTGGCGATCTACAATAATATCAAATCAATGAATTTTTTTTCGTAATTTGAGAAAAAGTAACACATGTCTAAAAAATGTATTATTTAAAAAGATAATGCGACCCATTAAAAATATGATGCGTCACATAGGGAAACCTCTAGTCTAGAATATTCATCTAGTTTTAAAAAAGTTCAAAATATTTTCTTTGAGAAGTCTAATTTTGGCTTAACAAAAACTTAAAAATACAAATTAATAGAACAAATATTCTTAATCTTCTGATAAATAGGTTCTGATGCACTGTCCTTCTTTATGGTTATCTGTAAAAATCGAAAACATTGAATAAAGTAATTGATTATATTATAGTAAAAATACAATTTTTATAATTTCAATACAATATGTGGTATCAATAAATTATATCTTGAAAATAACTATGTCAATAATCCATTTTGTTACCATACACATGTTGTAAATATAATTTTAAAAATAATTATTATTATTTGATTTGAAGTGACTTCTGAAATTCTTTAAAAACCTTTGCTAAATGACTGAATTTGATATATTTATATTCAGTTGTTATAAGTAGTATAATCAGTATATTATTATTTTATTGTTTCATATTGAGTTTAAAAATCAATTTCAAGATTTAAAATAGTTATTAATAAAAATCATAAATATTAGCATCCAATTTGAATATACTTTCAATTAATACATAACTTTTTACTATAAAAATATAATCAAATCTCTTGTATATTATTTCCTAGTGAATGGATATTGTTATTTTAATTTAAATTTTTATAGTATTTTAATAATCTCCCTTTTCATTTGTATAATTATTTGTGCTCAAATATATTTTAAATATATTTAATTAATGCCTTAGTACAGCGTTTCTTAAACTTTTTTATCCGCGGAACTCTTTTTGATGTCCACTTTTATCGTGGAATCCCTATCTTTTTTTTTAGTTTTTGGAGTTATTTGCAATAAAAATTATAATTATTTGATATAATAATAATTATAGTATAGAGTATAGAGTCTATACTATTAACTATATCATATATATTATTATTTAATATACAATTTTTTTTTTCCCCCACTAGCTATCAATAATCTTTAGTTAGATATTTTAAAGTAATTTTCCTGAATATTTTGAAAAAAAAAATACTTAAGCCCTGAAGTGTTCTCTGCGGATTACAGTTTAAGAATAGCTGCCTTAGTAGATAATTAAAATAAGTTTAGTGGCATAGTATATCTAGATTGTATTCATAACTGCATAATATTAGTCAAAGCCATACAAATATTCTAATAAGAAACTGCCCAATTTCTACTTATAATATTGTACGTATTAATTGTTTTTCCTTTTTTTTTTTTTTTTGTGTATATTAAATACAACGATACAAATGCTTGCTTATATATCTATAGCAATATATAATTTGTCTATGTCTTGTCAACTGATACACTGATCAAATTTACATGATATATTTTAATATTATTTATTTATAAAAATATCCATATAATTAGTAATTAGTTTCACAGTTGCGAAAAACTGAAATGTACTGTTATTTATACGTTATTGCATTGGCGATGTTTCATTAAAAGTTGTATGCCTACAATGTAGGCGTTACATAAATTAAATCGATTTTTCTTTGATTTGGTTGTTTATCAAATATCAATCTACTTATTTTTTCCCGGTTTTATTTTTGAGATCTTAAACTTGTACTATTTATAATAAATTTATGACTCATGAAACAAGTTTACATTTTTATTTTTAGTAAATGATTCAAAAATTATGATCTGTTTTTCATTCTAAAAGAGAAAACAATAAGTTGTGATTCGGACAAAAATTTTATTCATCAAACTTAGGTCCAGGCAATCAGTGAGTAGTAAAAATTTTAACCAAATACTGTCATTACTCATATTTTGTAATGAATCAAACTGTTCTATATTTTTTTAATGAGTCATAATGGATATCAATTAACACATGACATGATAAAATATCAATCAATTTGTTATTAAGCAATTAAATGTATTTTTTTTTTTTCATTATTACCTATCATATCAAATAAATTATGTAAGTCTATGTGTTTGTACTCTGTGTATAGTTTTTAGAATAATAACTAATAAATATGCAGTTATGATTCATTGCTGTATCAACAAAAATGTGCTGTTAATTTAAACTGCAGCTATTTATTGTACTATGTGGTTTTTATTTTACTATTTAATTTATTATTGGGCAAAGATTTGGTTGAATATAATTTAAGTAGGTACCAAAGTTAGAAATACTGTAAATCTTATGTAATAGTTTTTTTTTTTTTTACTTATCGTTTTAGTAAAGTTGTGAATAATTTTAAATACAATGTATTCATGTATGGGTTGTGAAAAATAAATTATTAAAATTTATTTGTCTGATCAATAGTACTATTATATTATCGTGAAGTTTTTTCTATAATATTTTAATTTATTGTTTAAATCACATTTAAAATACAAAAGTTATTGGCTCATTTTTGGCCTATTAGTTTTTTTTTTATTTTTGAAAAATATACTATACACTTCTCTTGGCAAATGTACAAATGCCAGCATATATCTAAAACATATTTTTCATGACCTATATCGAAACAAAATAAATGAAAAAATCTATAACTTTGTATATTAAGCTATAATTTTTCTACTACTTACCTATTATATTATTTTTTCTATCTATATACATTATTATTTTAAAACGTGATTAGCATATTTTACTGTTTAGACTCCACCATGTCTATTCAAACAAATTAATCATGCATATTATTATTGTTATTTTTATTATTATCATTATTATTATTTATTTTATTACATATATACATGCATTAATATAATATTATTGTCTTTCAGTTGCATTATGACTGATTAAATTATAATTTAAGAAGTGTGTTTAGTTTAAACCTTTGAATATTATTATGCTTTCGTTTACTATTATTGTATTTCTATTTAATAAATAAGGTCAATGTATCCCGAATAATGTAATACTAGATTAAAGTGTTTGGTTGTTGATGTATGAAATTCAAAATACCATATATAATCCTATGTTTCTTTAGTAATTCATGTTTTTGTTATTATTTTTTTAATTACCACCATCTTTTAAGTATAGATATTTAAACAGAGTTGTTCTAAAGAGATTGAAGGGTTTTGAATTAAAATTTTATACAACTTATAAAGAAAAAATAAAATTACTCAAAAATGTAAAATTTAGGCAGGCAATACAAGTAAATTAAACATTTAAAAAAATGTTTTCTATTTCAGTAAAAATTGAAATTTTTGTCAGTTTTAAATTTAGAATCAAGTGCTATTAGATCAAACTAGTTTTAATAAAATGTGGTTAACACTAATAGTGCGTTAATTATGTGTTACTATTTAAAAAAATTCTATTTTATTGCGCAGGCAGGCTAAAAGTATAAAAAATTTGAAAAATATCATTACATGTGTATTTCAGTACTTCCTAGGTTCTCCCAAAAACTCATTTCAATACAACGTCAACCGATCGAATGATTAAATTTTTTCCGAAATCGTGATCATATACTGTTTAATACGTATCTATGTCAAAATTGTTATTTATCAATTTATAGTTATCCACCAATGAGTAAATCATATTTTAATAATTACGTTGTTCTCCCGGAAATTAAAACATTATTTTTACCATAAAAAATCATAAAAACATGTTCATAAATTTACTATTGACTGATATAATGCAAAATTTTAATAATTCACAACATAAAATTTATAATTTTTTAGTTACAAGTCATAAATTAATCACTTTTAGATACGTTTATTAAATATTTAGATTTGATATATAACTATTATAATACCTAGCTAATATTTACCTAATATAATAATATATGTTGGTTCTAAGTTCTAAGTACATAACTATCTACCTACCTATGTTAATAACAATTCATTGATTAGTTCCTATAATCATAGTTGTATTTTGATATAATTGTGTAATTATTTGATAACAGGGTATTATTACTTAATGCTATCTAAGGTACCTAAATCAAATTCTGTCTTCATAATAATATTTGTAATAACGTTCCGTAATGTTTCATTCATAATTTAAATCTGTATCAAACAATTATGATATTTATATATTATAGGATTGTGTGAGAATGTAATAACTCACTGTGCTCGCGTTATCCCATGATAGGTAATTTGGGTTTGAGTTGTGGTCACTGTAGAAAATTGAATATGTTTGATCTCTGTACAAGCTGAATCGATGGATTTTATGTGGGTTACAACGGTTTCATAAAAGAGTAAGATTGCAGGGGAAGAATATTATACACCGTATAAGTATTTACTGCAAAGCAGCAGTAGTTACCAATAGAACGTTTTACAAAAATCTATCCAACATTTGTTTCAGACGTTTCGATTCCTAGACGCAAGGGAATATACGAGTGTCTTTGCGGATATCGTTATAAGAACGCTACCGCCACGAATATGATTGCTAGTTTCAATTCATTTATCACATTTAAAGACATACCTATAGTAGTAAGATCAAGTTCATAATTTAAACAATTATTTGTTATCCTGCAGGTTTCAGTTAAAACTACAAAGG